TCTCCAGCAGCAGCAGGGCCCACAGCAGTGCGGCAAAGAGCGGCAACGGCAGCAACTCCAACGAGGCGGGGTGTGAGGTGTTGTATTGCGTCCGGTGCCAGGCGGGCAGCACTACGAGCTGTGGTGAATGCGCGCGAAGCTACGAATTGACGACCAACTTCCAGTGTGTGCAGGGGGACGGTGCTGTTCGCGTGTCGCTGACGGCGGGCGGTCACCTGTGGGCTGCGCTGCTTCTCGCCGCTGCGCTGTGGGTGTGTTCCGCGTCGGTCTAATTATTTTCTTTCCCCCGCGAAGAGGACGGCGCAGTGGCACGCTGGTGGCCTCGCACGCGGAAGGCACGACACAGCGCTTTCCCAACAGGACAGACAGTCTGTGTTCGTGGAGGAGGCAGCTCAGTGAAGGTGTGCCGCACAGTATGCCGTTTTAAAAGGCTGTGCACGTGACGGGTGCTCCGTGGTGCAGTGGAACGTGGTAGATTCCAGCTGCCCACCGCTCGCAGCCGTGAGCATTTCTTTTGCCGTTCCTTGTTCTTTCCTTCTTTTGATCTTTTGCTGTTTTCCTCCTCTCCCCTTCTCCCCCTCTTTTTCTTTTGTTTCTTTTTCAAGCGAAGGGATGTGGTCCGCACACACAGTGCTAGCTCTTCGTTGTGGGGGTGCCGTGCGTGGTGTGAGCCGCGCCCGACAGCAGGCAGTTCTTCAAGCGCTACCACTGCTGCACTCTTGGAAAGGCCGGGTGCTGCTTTTGAATGAGCGCGACTGCTGCGAGCGGTGCCAAAGCCCCCCTGCACGCCCGCACGCCGCCACCGCCATCAATTGGCTTTCTTATTTTCTACGTTCCCTGTGATTTCTCTCTTGTGTTTCGAGTGACGCGTGCGTGCATGTGCGCGTGGGAGAGTGCTTTGCCTCCTTGCTCTTTTGCGTGGTTTCCCCGCTACCGAGGCGCTCACGGGATGGATGTGTGCGTCCGTTGCTGGTCTTTGGCGTGTGCCGTGCGGGAGTGGTGTGGTGCACGGATTGCTGCTGTGAAGCGGGATGCGGACGCGAGCGCGTTTTCGTTGCTGAGTGCTGCGTGACGCAAATGCGGAGGGACAGGCAATCATTCTTGTTCCGCGGCTGTACCCGACAACGGCTGCGTTGGTGTCCACCGATACCATCGCGCAACAGAGGGCGGCACAGAACGCGAGCCGTTGTATCAAGTAGCTCTTTCATCTGACATATATATATATAATATATATAGATGTATGTATCTACTTATGTGCAACCTTCTCTAATGCTAAAGCTGGTGAGCTCGTGTGTCTTCGTGATTCTCTTATTTTCTCATCATTTTTCTTATCTTGGTGGATGTTGTTGTGCGCTGCTGCACTATGTTTTTTTGCGGTGCACGTGCCCACGCCAGGGTATCTCGTGCAGTCCTTGCATTGCCATTGTGAGATGCCATTGTGGGTGTTTATTGTAGACTGCTGCACAGGACCCTGCGCTGCGGTGTCTGTTCCTCTCTCGCTCTGCTCGCTGTTTCTCCTGGCAATGTGCAAACGTGTGTGCTCCGTCGCGCTGCCCGGCAGCTGCTCAAATAGAGGCGCGGATCTGCCGGTGTGCGCGCCGCTGCAGCAGATTATTCCCGCAGCTGTCGCACATTACCCCCCGCAGCAGCGCACGCCGACTCGCCACCTCCAACTCTTTTTCCTCTCATTCGCGTTCTTCATTGTTATTTTGATATATTTACTTTCTGAACCAGTCATAATTTCCAAAGCTGAACCGTTTTTGGGGTGCGCATCTCCGGTGCTGTGGCGACAGCAGCAGAGGATGGCTGTCTCACCCCCGCTGTTTTTCAGTTTAACCGAGTAAAGTGTGCAACAGTCTGTTTTTTTCTCTCTTTCTTTTTTCCCGTGCTGACCTGTGACTCCAAGTCCACCGCTCATTGAAATCGGTGTGCCGAAGAGGAGCTACGGCGGGCAGACTGCGTGCCGTGCTGCGTAGAGTGTCTGCTAGTAACGCAGCCCATTTGCTTTTGCTTCTGCCGTTGCTGCGCCGCACACGCCTCAACTGCCGCAGCTGTGCTTCATCTTTGTTTCGCGTGTGTTTCAATACTGAGCCTTACTTCTCCTTTTATTATCATGTCTTTCTTTCTACGCTTCAAGCTTTTTATTCATGCGTGAATGTGTCTTTCCAATTCACTTCATCCTTCGGTAGAAATCCTCATTTCGACATCGCATAGCGAACGACGGCCCCGGCGGTGCACCACTGCTGATGTGTGTGCCTGCTGCGTGCGAAAACGGCGGTACGTGAAACGAAGGTTCCTGACTCCGGTCTCTGCACTGAAAAGCACCGCTGAGGAGCGGATGGGGTGGCCCTTTCTCCCCCGCCGCCGCTGTGGGCGGCTGCTATTGTTTTCCTGCGTGCACGCCAGCGCACGTGTTTGACCCCGAAGAGAAGCGCTTTGCAGCTCCTTGTCCGTGGACGCTGCTGCGCGATCGCTGCATTTTTATTTGGTGCAGCCACCACCTGCCATCTCTCTCTGTACTCGCCCCTCCCTCTTTTCCTCGTCTGTTTGGTGTTCTCTCGCCCCTCTCCCCCTCGCCTCTGCTGCGTGTGAACGCTTGCGCGCTGCACGAGTGCGCAGCCTCGTCAGAAAGCGGAGGCTCTTTGAGCCCATGCACGGCTTCACGCACTCCGGAAAACTTGTGGATCTGCCTCGCCGAAAACCGCTGTGCGGCGTATACGTCTGCCCCACGCCGCTCCGCCTCGCCTTCTGTCTCTGAGCTTTCCATTTTCACGGCCCGCAAGTGTTTTGCCTTCAAGTGCGTTGTCATTCCGCAGCACCGCCACAGTGCGCGCTTTGCCGCCACTTTGTGCTTCTTTTCCTTTCCTGTTGCCGCTCGAAGGCGCCTTTCCCCCCTCTCCACGTGTACTGGACTCCACTTGCGGCAAGGGTATGGCACGCTTGTCGCACGTCCCGAGCAGGCATGTGCACCCCGTTTTCGGCGCCGTCTTGCCACTGCGGTGCCGGATCTTGAGTCCGGCTGCGTCGGCGGCAGCTACTGCGCGCGGATGGGAGCGCGGTGCGGGGAGAGTGGGGTGGAGGCCCACTGAGCCGAGTGCCCCATTCGCAGCGAGAGCGCCGCCTCACCGGAGCTTCCGGCAGACGTCGGTGGTGCCGTTTGTGGCGGATGTCTCCGCTGAGCGACTGTGCGGGTGCGTCCCCCGCGAGTGGGATTGGAAGCTGGCCTTTGCGGGTGTTGCGGATGCTGCGGTGGCCGCTGGCAGCCGTGGCCCGGCAGCTGCGTGCACCTCGTCCTCTGCGGAAGGCCACTGGGCTGACTCGGCCGCGTCTCCGTGTGCCTTTCCCCTGGCACGACGAGGGCACTGCGAGATCCCAACTTTCCGGTGACCTCGTCGCTTCATCTGCGCCTCTGCGGCGTTTTAAGAGCCCGTTTCCACTACCAACGGGCTAGCCGTTCTAGGGTGGCCCGCTTCTCCGGTTGCAGAGCAAAGGATGGCGGCGACAGCAACGGAGACCGTCTTGCCCGAAATGCGTTTCCGTTGTGTGTTCTGCAGCGCTGTCCATCTTCGTTTTTACTTCTGCTTTTTTCTCTCGTCCCTGGACGAGGATGTTGTGCGAGATGCGCTGAGGTGAAAGCCGTACTTCTTTCAACGCCAACTGTTTGCTCTGCCCAGGTGTGTTTCCCTTTTGTTGCTTGCGGGGCGTTAAACTTGCTTAAGGGCGTCCACTGAGCCGTGTGCGCATAACGGCAAAGATGAAGGACTGAACTGTCTCGGATTCTGCGGTGTGCCACGTTGAAAGCGAACTGTGCTTTTCTATAGGGTGCCGCTGGTTTCTCTCCGTCGTACGTATGAATTGTGCCCTCACATGCTTGACGAGTGCGTGCCCATTACGCATAAGCGTTGCTGCCCTGCGCTCCTCGATGAAATCCCTTTCACACCGCTGTCAACGACCTTCTCCCATCACGCTGCATTTCTTGTCGATGGCTCTAAAACACGCCAACGGCTGCCACTCTGGCCTCCTTCACCATTTGGCGGCTGCTCAGAAGTCAACGCTAACCCTTCTCTAATCGCGCGCTTTTTTCGTAGGTGCTGAAATACCACTATTATTTTTCCCTTGTCCCGCCAACGCGCACGCCATTTGAGCCCTCCTTCCTCTTTCTCGCTGAGACCCCATTCGCACAATCAGCGCTATTCCGCAGCGTCAAGTTCCCGCGGTGTCTACCGAGTCCGTGGGTTCAAGGCCGTCGAAAGAGGTCTCTTCCGCCTCCTGTGCGCTGCGCTTCGCTATTTTTTTCCCCGGTTATTTCCACGTCACTCTAAACATTATTTTCCTGTCTCCGTTTCTGTTCACCGAGCAGGCCAACCGGACAGCAGCATGAGCCGTTTCTCCTCTACTCCGCAGCCGTGGAAGGCACTCGCCATCGGTGCCCTTCTCGTGTGCTGTGTTCTCGGCTCGCACGTGGCGGCTGCCGCGGACAGCAATACGTCGGTTCCATCCGCGGTGGAGCCCGAAACGGCGAAGTTCTTGCAGGCCCTCGTGGCGGGGATACCAGAGCTGAGGGAGCACATAACAGGTGACAACTACTGCACCGATTGGGACTTCTTGGCATGCGAAGACGACGTTGTGAAAGGGGTGCTACTGGATTCTTGGAGTCTGAAGCGACCGGCGAGCCTGCCGGAGCTCCCCGAAGACCTCGACGGCAGTAAGGTGACCGTGGAGCGTTTCTTGATGAATAGCCACCGCTCTAATTTGATCGGGACGCTGCCGTCGACTTGGGGAAAACTGACGAAGATGCAAAATTTCCAGCTGATCGGTAACAACTTGGAAGGCACCCTGCCGGCGGAGTGGAGCGAAATGACGGGGCTAGCCCAGATACGCATGTCCCGTAACAACCTGACGGGCACCCTTCCGGAGCAGTGGAGTAGGCTGAAAGTGTTGACTGTAATTGTGAGCAGGAACCACCTGACAGGCACCCTGCCCGCGTCGTGGAGCGCGCTGTCGCCGTTG